GCCTGCCCGCTCTCCCCCCGCCCTCCCCAGTCCCTCTCCCCGCCATGAGAAGAAGAAGAAGGTCCGCAAATACTGGGACGTGCCACCGCCGGGCTTCGAGCACATCACCCCCATGCAGTACAAGGCCATGCAAGGTGGGCTCCGGGGCGTGGCCGGGTGCTGGAGGCACCCACTCTCGGGGCGGGAATGAGGTCTGCACCCCGGCTTTTGGCCTCTGCCCTTCGAAGCCCCCACCCTGGAGTGGGTGCCTGCAGGAGACCCGCTTCCTAAGGCTGCAGGCCCATCAGGGAGCCCTCCTGAGGTTGGGGGCTGTGGGGGGCGATGGAGCAGCTGGGTGCAGGCTGGTCCTGGCGCCCACTGATCCTTTCTGTCCCCCCTGAAGCTGCGGGTCAGATTCCAGCCACCGCCCTCCTCCCCACCATGACCCCTGACGGTCTGGCTGTGACCCCGACGCCGGTGCCTGTTGTGGGGAGCCAGATGACCAGGCAGGCCCGGCGCCTCTACGTGGGCAACATCCCCTTCGGCATCACTGAGGTACTGCCTCCCCCCTTGCCGTGCCCCTCCCTTCACCCTCCCCCTGTTCCTCCCCTTCCCTTCGACCCCTCCCCTACCTGCACGGGTCGGACTCTGCTCCTGCGAGACCCCCCGGCCCCCTCCCAGACGGACGATGGAGTTGAGCCAGCCAGGGGCCGGGCTGGGGGTGGCCCTCCCTCCCTCCTCTATCCTCACCCGTCTCCCCTCCCCACCCTCCTCCAAACCCATGGATCGAGCACACACATAACTTACCTACGAACCACGAATCCACGCACCCGAGTCCGTGGAGAGAGACAGAGAGGGAGACTCGACACACACACAGACGCACGCCCTCAGTTTCCGACACGCCTCTGCTCTCTGCCGCCTGTCCCCATCCTCTCCCTCCCTCCCGTGGTCGCTGCTCTTTTATTTTTGATGGCCCTGACCTCCCCGCCTTCCCCACGCGCCTCTCCCCCTCTCCCCACCCCTTCCCGTGGCACCCCTGAGAACCCCGAGATCAAAGAGTTGTTTCCATTTCTCTTTAAAGTGAAATATTGTGGGGCTGAGATCCCTCGTAGCAACAAAAAGTTTGCTACCGTCGGCGAAGGCAAGTAAGGTCCATTCTGACTTTCTCAACCTGCACTTTGCTACATTTGATGAACCAGCCCCCGACTCCAGGGCCAGATCCCTCCACATCACTCTTCTCTCCTCCCTCCCCTCCCCCTCCCGCGCTCCCCTCCCTGTCCTCCCCCCTCTGTCCCTCTGCTCCTCCCTTCCACTCTCTCCCACTCGGGTCCCACTGGGGTCCCTCTCCTGCCTGCTGCTGCTTTTCCACTCTCCTGTCATTTTCTTCTTTCTCGCCACCGGCTGTTTCTTTCTCTGACGTCTCCTGTCTCCTTGTTGCCTCTGTTCTGTTTGCCCTCTTCTCCCTGTGGTCATCGTTCTCTGCATCTGACCCTGAACCCTAATTCTCCTCCCCCTTTTGGGCCCCTGGGGCTCGCCCCACACCTGGCCTGGCCCTCGGCGCCTCTGCTGCCCCCTCCTCCTTCTCTCATCCCCCTCCTGCCTTTC